AGTGTCGAGCTAGTCAATTTTGAAAGTAATTTCTGACATTAATTTTCAATTCGTATGTGAAAAACTGTGAATAATCTTTATTTCTTCTTTATCTTTAATATTTAACCATACTTAAAGAGCTCATTGCAAAATAAGAGGGCAGAAAATATAAATTTTCATGTTGTTGATTTTGAGATTTTGTGTTGATGCACGCGGGCTCGTATCCGCGCCGATTAATCTTTAATCGGCACACCTGTGCGATTAATGTTTAATCGGCACGGTTTTTAACCAATCAGAATCGAGTAAATTGACTAAAACGATATTATACTATTACTTTTCTGTAATAACTGCGTTAATTTTTAGGACTGTAAATGGAAAATGTACGCGGATGTGGATGCAGATGATCCGTATCTTTCTTATATCAAGGTATGCGAGTATATTACAGTAATATTATACTACTATTTTCTATATATGTTTGTCTAAGAGGTCCAACTTAATAATATTTGAAAGTATTGCATATACAATCAGTAGAGAGAATTGTAATGTACTTAAGTGCAGAATAAGCCCTTTCTAGGAAATATGTTACCTTTCCAGCGCGGGTTTAGCTTGACCTTACCATCTCTGATACCATCCATCCGACCTTACCACCGAGTAAATCGGCCCGACAAGACCACTTTTTTGTGTGACACGATTTGATAATTTTTATAATTTTATATGTACTACCTCTCTGTTTAAGAAAAAATTGGAATATTGAAATATTGAAATTTGGTCTAATCATTTATTACCCATGCATGATAGCTTTTGTATATACGTATTGAACGCGCGATTCGTGGAGAATATATCCAAAGATGCGTCATTTTGATTTTCATGTATACATTGTCGATAAATATCAAAGTAGCTGGATTGTCATATAAACGCTTGACTGGAAGACAAAATTTGATCTATAAGTGGTGGAGTCGGAAGCCGCTCCTGCCAGCTGCCGGTTAGAAGATGAATTTACGCCGGACAGTGTCCCGTGTTCGGCAACAATATATTGTTGTTATACGCATTGTTGCACATGGATTGCATGTACGCCCCGAAGACTTCATGCACTCTTAATGTTTCTATTACCAAACGTATTTTATTATTATTCTTCCTATTAATTTTTTTTTACTTTGCAACAGGACGTTACATTTAATTTTTGCTCTTCGGAGCCAATTGTTTTAAAGAACGTAAGTAAAATATGGGAATATCTACGTAATTCATTTACGTACTTCAATGTGTTGTATAGGTAATAGTGTGCTATAGGTAAATATGTGACTGATAGTACGTTCGTTGTGGGTGGTACTGATTTTGGATAGTTGCATGGCTGAATAAGTTAGGAAGCCATCAAGCGACATTACTTCCGAAGGTTTAAGGTGCTAAATTTAAATACGCGTTTGTGCGATTTTAGAAATTCAAGTGAACGTTCTGAGTCAAAATTTCAATGCTGGATTTGTATTACTGAATATTTCTAATCAGTGAAGTGGCAATTCAAGCCCAGAATTACTGCCTTAGCTAATATATCTGCATGTTAATTGAAGTTACTGCTTAATTTAACCGCTCCGGAAGTGAAGCATGCAGAACTAGCGGGAAAAAATAGCAAACGTATACATACAGGCGGCGAGAGATGCTCTGGAAAGGCATGAAGTAATCGATCAGCAGTTAGCAACTCAAAGCTCGGATCCTAGAAGGGCTATACTGATTTCAAACGTAACAGTTGAGATCATTCCTCGAAATATCACATTAGGGCCATTTATACGGAACAAAATAAGACGCGACTTACATAAGACGCGACTTAGGTAAGACGCGAGTTTGTCGTATAAAAGGTACAAAATTCTTATGTAAGACGCGTCTTGGATAAGACGCGTCTTACATAAGAACAGGTCTTTTAGCTGTTCTTATTTAAGTCGCGTCTTAAATAAGAAATTTTGGACAAAAAGTCTAACTACACATGCCAGAAACTTGAAACAACGTAAAATTGAATGCCTTGCATATTAAAACAAAAACAACCAAAACAACAACATAGCTATAGCAAATAAATAAGACCAAAGCCGTAGAGAGCCATTTATGCGATAACTCCACTTATTTAAGTCGCGTCTTATGTAAGTCGCGACTTATTTTGTCACGTATAAATGGCCCTATTATGTACATTGTCAAGTCAAACTTCATGAACACCTCTGCCTAACCTCTGCATGCATGCCTTTAAAGAACACCTCGCTGGCCACAACGAATATAAGCTTGGAACACGCCCAAGCGAATAAAGCAATGCTTCCACTCTTCCCAGTAACCACGCCCAATTATTAAACCTATCAATGGTTTCTTTTAGACAAGGATTAAGTCAGATTATCTATCGTATTCAGTAAAATCCTTGGAACTTTTAAGAAAAATGTTTGCAATTGTTTTATGGAAGAAATTTTGATAACTCAATGAAGACTTCGGAGCAGCACTAAGATTTCAGTGGCTACACTTGATTTAGTCATTTTTGTTCAAAATCTGCGATTTTCAAATTTCACCAGAGTTCGCATTTTCTTATTTCAACTAGGGTTAAAATTGATGAAAGGGTTGTAAGCCACCTCTTGTGATCCTGATAATTTTATTAACTATAAACAAAAGCAGGAGAACTTGACTTGAAATGATTCAACTGTCTTTTATTTCTCTTTTCACGTATTACCACATAAAAAGTGGAAAGTGTTGATTGAAACTATTACCGTTACCAAACGTGATTCAGAATGTTGGTTTGTTATAGCCACCGTATATTATGGAACACTGGCAAAAGTGTGAAGAACAACCTGCTGTTGTTGAATGCAATGTCAATTATACGGTGAGTTGTATCATATTGAGTATAGATATTGTTCCCAAATATCATTTGTGCAGTTTGGTATTACAATGTTAATGTGAAAAGCAAACGATCAAAAAGGCATAAAATACTAAGGCATAAAATACTTTGTTAGTATAATTATCATTTCATACAAAATGTAATGAGAGATTTCATATAAAAAATATTTACCCGTGTGTCATAATTCCTGAACACGTTTACGTCTAAGAACGAAACCATTCATAAGAACTCAATAACCAGACACGAGCACCGTTCACTATTATACAATCTGTAAACGGACAGGAAAGAATTATCCATAAATTCCTCATTTCTAAAACTTTTGATGAGGTACACGTTGCATTCAGTTGTGAGTAAGTCCTGCTGCATCTACAGTGTATACTGGAAATGATATTCAGTGCAAATGAGGTATTTGTAGATGTTGTAAATGTTGACGTTTCTTCTTCAGAGCGATGTGAAGAAGCCGCGATGTACAAAATACACCCATCATGTTCAGCTTCAAGAAGGTGGTGGAACATATCAACGTACGGCTGAACTGACATTGAAGCAATCTGTAGTTGGTACTGCTACACCTGTATCACCATCACTTTCAAATAGATCTGTAAGTATATTTCTACCATTATTCACATATTAGACTATTAGTTAAGTATATTTCTACTGTAATTACACCAACTTCGTACCCGGGGCTTCTGCGCTTGTGGCTGCTTACTTAGCATTGATTTGATATTTACAAACTTTAACAGATCGAAGTTTTATTTTATGAAACACTATAGCATTGAGCATTCAGTATATTGCAAAACCTTTTGGCATATTTTCGGTATCTCTTTTGGTACAAAGCGTTCATAACATGCACAATCCTACCCCTTTCTCCCGTCTCGTATGTTTAGGCAGCTGAACCACTTGGGAACCATTTAGATTTACACTGATATTTAGGTTACTTCGTCGGGGTTTTATAACCTTTACCCTGGCTGTGACGTCATTTAATAACATGTGATTGTAAAACAAGATGGGGAATGGCAGGGTGTTTTTACCATTTCGCTCATTTTCTCCAAATTTAACAAAACTTTTATTATCGACGTTTAAATTGGATAAGTGTAATGTATGGTGCCACTTTAATTTGTTTCAAAAAACAAGCAAAGGGCCAGTAGTTTATCAGTCACTTAGGACTGTTACCTGTCACCCTCTATAAATAAAGTTATTATTATGATGGAGGAACTTTTGGTTGAATTAAAAAGCAATTACAATAATGATGTTGTCTTTTGTCTATATATATATATAGGATGTCTCACTAGACTCGTGGTCAAGTCATCGTAGTCTATCAAAGATGAACACAGTCACTTCCGCAACTACTACACCTTTTCTCAGTGCGTGGGAACGAGGCAAAGCAAGTGAAATTTTGTTCCAGTCTACTGGGACGCGAGGTCTTGCAACAAGTCCGTTAGACACTGCTGCCGCTGTAACTGCAGTTCGTCGTACAAGTAGTGGCAGTGTATCGTCCTCGTCACGTGAGTGAAATTTGATGCAGTTCAATTATTAATATTCATTACACAAATTTTTCAATGTATGCCTTGTGCCTCTTAACGTGAAGTCATGTTATACCAAAAATATATAGGTCTAGTCATTGACGCAATTAAAATGTTTATTATAACATGTAATTTTGTATGAATACAGAAATGAACCTAGTGATTCAAAAACATTTGGCCCAAAGTTACTGTGAACTATATATAACTACAAGTCTCTCCCTTCGGAAAGGTATAACAACCTTTTGTCGTTGGGGTATGTTTACAGTCACTGCTTCGATGACTTTTGAAAAAACTATACAGTGGGCCGCCAACTTGAATTTCGTGTTTCTTTTTAGCCAAATCAGGTCCATCGCCTTCTTATGTAAGGAAATCAAATGCGAGCTCTCCTCAAACACCTCCTTCAAAAGGTATGATAATGCTTAGGTTTACTAATACACCGAAATTGTTTATACGCAGAGAGTGCCGAAAAAAACAGCCAATTCAGCGATCTCAAATGCGCATGCGAATAGCCATGCACCTGCCAGTACGAAAAAGGAAAACGTGCATAAAAGAGCTCCCAAAGTCGTAGAACAACAATCTGGAGTATGACAAAAACCTTCCTTTCAATACAGTACGTTTGACTATTGCATTGTCCAACGGTTGGCTGCAGGGAGGGTACGCAAACATGTTCAAATATATGTTCTATATGAATGGTGGGGGTTTCATAATATTTTACAGCTAAACATGCCTATTGACTATGACTATGTTTTTGTGAACTTAGCTTGCAGCTACAGGTTGGAGCATGCGCTCAGCTTCACTGCCTTCTCATGATTTACGGAGTCTGCCTGTAACTTCAGAATTCTTTAATTCAACTAAGCTTTGAAGCAAACATTTTGAATTTGGAGTTAGCCTCTTGGACTATGTCTATGAAGGTAGCGTCACTCCATGGCCCCTAACTTGTGCAACCATCTCAAAGTATGTAATATTTAATTCCAATCCTAGGGAAACAAACCGAAAGTCCAGGAAGCAGTTCTCCGTTTGAATGGACATGCGTCAAATCAAAACGAAAAGAATCCAGCCATACCAATAATAAACCACCTGGAGCGGGTCATGGGAGGAGTGGAGGCTCAGGCAACAGAAGAACTGGAAACAATTCAGGTGGGACAACCCGCGGAAGAGATCAGAATTTAAAATATGGTCGAAGTGTTAGTGACAATACGGGTAAACGCGGGAAGCAAAATGACTTTGATTCTGTCAGAAAGACAGCCAGTGAGGGTGGTAGCCGCCGGAGGTAACACACGTTGGTCAAAGCACAGGTCAAAACCATATTTATTTCAACTCTTCTCAGTCTGTGATATACAGCTTATTCGTTACCTCGTCCATCACCACGTTACTTCCACTGAGCTCATATATCACAGGAGTGATATTCAAGTTACCAAATTAAGCGCGGATCCTTTCTCTTGCTCGAAAAAAACGCTGTGAAATCGACATCGTGGGAATGACAACATCTGCTTGGTCCGAGCTAAAAATAGTTTCACATTTTAGCAATAATAGACGTAGGAATGTAGCCATATTTCTGACTGTTTTGACATGATAATACGCCGTTTTTTTCGGGCGAGAGGAAGCATCCACCGTTTCGGTAATACATACCAGCGCCCACGATTTATATGTGAAGCTCGCGGTTTTGATCAAAATGTCACGGGCTCATGATTTCTTACTTCAATTTCACTATTTTAATACTAGAAAAAATACTAAACTGCATGTTCAGCTAAAAACCAAAGTAATAAAAAAAATATTTTGAACATACAACCTGCTTACAACGGTCAAATCGAGATTTTGTATTATTTTCATAATTTTTTACTAGTATCCAAAGGCAATTCTCAAAATTAAATTTCAAATATTAGGTTTTTGTATCTGCGCGTAGCGCAGATATATTGCTATCGCGTCAGTCAGTAAAGTAAAGTAAAGTAAAGTTAAGTGAGTAAGTTAAGTTGTTAACTCGTTAAGTCCGTCAGCCTTGTTTTGAAGACCTGTTCGCAGGCTAGAACA